GTACATTTGCTGTTATCTTAAACTTATATTAAAGTTTTTCTTCATTACCCATTTAAGCCGTCTCCAGCCATTATTAGGATTAATATTTTGTCTGAGATTGTAGAAAGAGGTCGGAACAAAATTCATTATGTCATAATCGTAGGTGGAGACTCATAAACATCTGGTCGGGCATGGGTCGCGGGTTCGAATCCCCCAAACATGCTCGTCCTTTTAGCCGTGGGAGCGTTATAACGTGACGGTCAATCCCACTATTCGTTGGTAAAAGAGTGGCCCAAGAGTTGGCCTTCCCTCTAGTCTTACACTAGATAGCCCTAGACAGCTAGGCAGATAGCACTCGTATAGCTTTGCGTGAAATTCAAAAACAAATAAACATAAAACCTCTAAGTCGCCATCTGGTGGCTCCTAATGACTATGTGTGAAACTATCAAACTCCATTGCGGCACTCTGATGGCACAAAGTGTAACTATGATGTTACAGCTTTAAAACACGTACGTTGATGTTACCTAAATAAGAAGCAACTTAGTGTAACTTGTTTAAAAACGCTTCTGCTGTTCGTTCATAACATAAAAATGCTTGACGATGTCTAATAGGCTTGCCTCTCTAGATTTCTTTATCTTGTAGTATAAACAATGGAGCATAGATGCTTACATTTAATAACAGTTTATGTTACTATAAGGTGAATAATGCTCTAATACTAGATAGGCAATCTCAGTCCATGAATATTTTATTAATTATAATCTATCATTATTCCTTTAAATGTGTTGACTGTGGCATCATATTCGTCAACGATGTTTTAACTTTCTTGTATGCTTAACTACTAACAGATGGTGCTGCAATAGTTTTTATTTGTTTGTTTGAAGTGACGCACAAAGCTACACAATGGGCTATCTCTGCTCTGCCCACCACGAGTATCGAAACCCGGTTTCTAGCGTTGTAAGTCTGCAGACATACCGCTGTGACACTGGGGGCTGCTGTAACTCTGAAATCACATTTAATTAACATGACAACATGTAGTGGTTGAAGCACTGGTGTTCTAAATAGTGTGTTGAAATCTAACCTTAAATAATTCCAACGGGTGGACTTCCGAGTTGCATGTTAAATGATATAATGATAAATAGATAAAGGTAAATAATATAATGGTTTGTAAGATGATACTTTAAAGAGTAATGAGTTGATGTACAAAAGTATTTTTTTTAAGTATAAAACTGTAACTGTGTCTTATATATTGAGTAAACTGAAACATCCTGTTCTCTCGGGTAAGCCTATTACTCTGATCTATAATAAACTGTGAAACATTTTATTTATATTTGACAATTGCATAAACGTCACAGACTTATCCTTCTAAATAAACGTATTATAGTGTAATCATTGTTTCACCATCTAAATCACAAGAAAGAGTTAAGTGCATGAATATGGTAAGCCATCGGGGTCATAATGCATTGGTCCAAAACGTAGTCAAATGTTCGACAACGCTTCAAACCAATACGTTATGACTTCGATGTTTTTTTCATATACGCAGGTGGTCATATAAAACATATCAAAATCTAAAAGTTTATTGTTCTATATTCGTAGCACTTGCTTATTGAAACCATTCAACATGGGTTGATCATCAAGCACTACATTAGTATGGACATCAAGATTTCAAATAAATCTGTATTGGTATACTTGGACCGTATCTAAACTATAACAATGAACATCTGTTGAAATGAAATGTTTGAATGGAATCATTAGGAAAATAATTGTAGCAAAGTTCAATTGAAAAGAGCATTGGCACTGGTATTATTTAAGGTGATATAAGTTGAAATGTGGCTAGGATAACATTGATTATATTTTAACCATTTGTTCCTTCCATGTTTTTTGCGCCGATTTTATTGATTCGAATTATATTTGTTATAGTTTTTACTTGTTACTATTAAGAATAATACCTTGAATTAAAAAAAAACTTGAGAAGCTCGTTTTATTTAGTTCGATTTAAGAATTAAATACTGATTTTTTGTTTTATTAAGCTTTACAGAATTGTACCCACGTTTACGAAAATGTTTCTGAAGTCAAGTTTTGTACCTATAATTAATGAATGACCTATGTTGCCTATAACTATTTATTATATGAAATGATAAATTTATCGAAAATTGTTACACTAAGTTTATTAATAGTGTCACCTGTATAAAAAGAAAGATAATGTTTAAATGCTAAAGTTGAAAATCAGGTTTGTCTTTCGGTGGCTTAGCGGAAGTGTGAAGGCTTAAAATCGCGTTTCGATAACTGCAGTAGACAGAGCTCAGATAACTCATTCTATAGCTTTAATAATTCTAAAATGTGGAGTTCGATTCCCCGCGGTGGACGGAATCCAAATAACTCATTGTATGTATAGCTTTGACGAAGAAAATAACAACAACATATACAAGCTGATCGGTGCTTCCTTCTCACATATATAGTTAGAAGAGGAAGTTAGTTAACTACACCCAAGTAAAGACAGGAATTGAAACCACAAGTTAATGCCTCATAGCTGTGGTAAGCTGTACCTGTGACTTCAGGTCTATGTAAGCCTCACAGCTATGGGAAGCTGTATCTACGACTTCAGGTCTATGTAGGCCTCAAAGCTGTGGGTAGCTGTACCTACGACTCCAGCTCTATGTAAGCCTCACAGCTGTGGGAAGCTGTACCTATGAATTCAGGTCTATGTAGGCATCACAGTTGTGGGAAGTTATACCTACGACTTCACGTCCTTGTTCTAATAGCAAAAAGGGTTCAAGGGTGTTTTTAAACAGTTAAATAATATAGTTAAGAGATTATCCCTGCAAGACTAAATGAAGCATAATAATCTGAGACATCATGATTTCAGTTGCATGTTACTTACTCACCAAGAACAAAGAAACTGTGATCTCAGTTGCATGTTACTTACTCACCAAGAATAAAGAAAGTGTGATCTCAGTTGCATGTTACTTACTCACCAAGAACAAAGAAAGTGTGATCTCAGTTGCATGTTACTTACTCACCAAGAACAAAGAAAGTGTGATCTCAGTTGCATGTTACTTACTCACCAAGAACAAAGAAAGTGTTCGAGAAAAAAAAATGAAACAAACTTTTTCACGATGTAGTCCTTGTCTGCCGTATAAATAGTGTGCTGTGGTCTTTAATTTGAAATGGTGAAAAGACAATGGGATTGGTAAACCATATTATGTTTCTGTACAAAAGGAATAAAAAAAAAAAGAACACGATCAGCTTATACAGTTCATGTAGAATAAACAAAAGAAGAGATTGTGATGTTGTTAATGAAAATCCCAGTGTATCTCACCTCTTGCATATAAGAAGTAAATGTGTATGTTACTGTATTCTAAGAACTTTACACTATATACCCGAGTATGATATCTCAGTTCTCGTAATTAACACCCCCCAGTGGCACAGCGGACTTACAACGCTAGAATCCGGGTTTCGATACCCGTGATGGGCAGAGCACAGATAGCCCATTGTGTAGCTTTGTGCTTAATTATAAACAAACAAACAAATCGTAATTAACGGCCAAACCTTCTCTGGTAAAGGGTGTAAAGTAATAAAATATTTAATAATAATAATATTATTTTTTTTTATAAGTACTTTTATAAAAGGTCGAACCATGTATTCTCGCGCAGAATAATACCACCAGCCATGCATGTTGTACTACACTTATCTTAATAGGTCAAAATATAACAAAGTTAATACATTTCCAAAACCATACACTTAAGTGTTGCTAAAGGTCAAGTTAGAAACAGTATGCATTTAATGGAAAGCAAGTCAAACACTAACCATAAATGACTTGTAGTAAGAACATACGACTTCATATAATATAAGTACAAATAATTCTTTCTTCTGCAATTCAGTTTTTTGCTAGCACGTGATTGTAAAATTATTATTTATAGCTTTGTTTGTTTGTTTATTGAATTCCGTGGATAGCTATCCCACGTTAGTCATCTGTAATTT